CTCTAGACCCTTCTCCTGACTGTAGGCAGTCGTACCGTCGACTCAGTGCAGTTGCACTGAGGTCCTACCTGTTGACCTTGCCACTTGTCTTCGTCTGAAAAACGTGGGCCTACCTTAGACTCACCACTTGACCACTTGCCAACCTTCTAGAAGGACTGAAGCTGGGCTTCTGGACTCTACTTGGACTCCTACCCTACAGGTCTACAGTTCGAATCTTCCTACAGCCTACAACCTACGGTGACCTACTTACCACTGGCTATCGTGCAGGTCACGGGTTCAACTCCAGGGAACTGTACAGATACTGTACACAGGTAAGCTGAGGTCAAGGGATCGACCCCTGGGATCTGCATCGGCTACTGCCAAAGGTGAAAACTGTTTCACAACCACCCTTCGAGACGCAGGATCTATGCCTACCCTAAAAGGCTTATCAAGCAAGAGGAGGGGTAATCAGAGAGGGCACAAATACAACATGTGGATTCTTCATCGAAGGGGAAGTACAAAAATCCTAGCAAAACAGCCACGTGGCAGAACACAACGATTCGCATAGGCAGCGGTGATGCCTATCCCCGATGCTAGTAACTCACTGCGCCATCTGCCCTGCCACATGGCGAAATCCTGTATTCTAAAGAGCCGCACAAGGATTAGGTTGCCATATTAGTTTACCAAATCCACATGGCAAATCAATAAGCCATACATGACCATTACCACGTGGCCCAAAAAGAGCACGATGGAACCAATCACTCACATGCTACCCTATGCGACCCGGTTATCCAAGCGTCACTATCCCACACCTACGCGCCACCATCCAACTTCCAGCGTTCCCACACAGTCTTCCCGTTTGCCAACCATTCCAATCATCCACCCCACTCGCCCATACCCCTGATCAAACCCCAAAAAACACCGGCAAGAAAAGAAGAGGGGAGGGTGGGGAATAGGGGGAAAAGACTGCCCCTTCTCACTTACTATTCCATCAGTATCACTGTCAATATCTTTGTTTTTTTTATTATCACCGGCTGTATTGTTGTTAATAATATCGTTGTTGCATTCACTGTGATTCCCAGTCATGTTGTCGCCGGCTGAATTGATGTTGTCATCGTTGTTGTTGAGATCATTGTTGTTTCCTGGCGCACACAAGTTGAAAAACCATCCTCCCATTCCACCGTCACATTGTTGCCGTTGTTTTTTGCGCCCTGCGCCACAGACAACATAAGTTCATCATCGATATTTCCGTTGTAATTGTTGTCATTGTTGTTGCTAGCATTTCTGACGTCATCGATGTCGTTGTCGGTCTTATTGTCTTCATCTTCCCCACACCGATCACCATCAACAGCGGTGCAATTGTCGTCGTCGTCGTCGTTGTTGTTGTTGTTGTTGTTGTTGTTGTTGTTGTTGTTGTTGTTGTTGTTGTTGTTGTTGTTGTTGTTGTTGTTGTTACCCCCAAACGAGCGCTCCTCCACTTCACCGCAAGAACCCTGCCCCTCCTCAAGCTCCCCGCGGCGAGTTACAACCTCCTTGTTAATGGAAGTGACTGTAACACAAGCGTCGTCAGCTTCATACGAACAATCCTGCGACATGGCACAAAGCACCTGCCCCTCCTCAGGCCCCACGCAGCAATGCCCTTTCAAATCATCACGCCTTGTTTTCACATGCAGCCCCTCCCAGAGGTCAACGAAGATTCCTCTCACTTTCCTTACCATTTCCGTACACTCGCACAGCTCCGCCATCACTTGTGCTTCTTCAGTAGTGCCCAACCGTTGAAAAGGGAGATTTGCATGGAGCTCCTCCTCCCATCCGATGAACAACTCCTCACCCTCCTCCAGGAGTTCCGCGGGTAGACTGTGACGATGTTGTGTCAGCACGGCATAGATGTCGTCCATCTGTCGCTTATACATCCGCACCATCTCCAGCGTCGCTCCCTCCTCTTCAAACAAGGCAACAGCAACAGCGTCCTGCATGGTCGCCGCCTCCATCGCCATCGCTGTTGTCGATGTAGTCGTGGTTGATGCCGTTGTTGTCATCATTCTTGATATTGTCGTGTCTTGTTATGTTGTCGAAGCTGCCCCTCAAACGACCACACTGCCTCTTCAATCTAAGCTTGATTTCCTCACGCCGACGTGCCGTCTCCTTAAGATGCCACGTGGGAAAACCCCACCTACGCCCGGGCCGAAGTGCCGGACGGGCACCAGGACGACCAAGCGGAGCGATCTCCTCCTTGACAGTTTTCTGATTTGTGAAAAAAAAACTTTTTTCTTTCCGTTCTTTTGCCGATAGACATTACCCCCACTGTACACACTGTTTGGTAAATGTGAGGTTGTCGATATGTTTTCTGAAACTTTTTCTGGATTCGAAAAACATTTCCTTTTTTTCTGGAAACATAACAAAGCTATCAACACTACGCGTCAAATCTTCATTCTCTGATTTTAATTTTTAACAACATAGTTGTACAGTAACCTTTGATAGGGTTTAGGGTTTAGAAGCCTTCCTTATCATTTCGGCAAATCTGGACGAGATTGATGTTTTCCTTTTTTGTTTTCCTGGGGGACAGATGGTTCAGCTCTCAAAACTTGGACGACGTTCGTCTGTTGGGCTGCACCACTTCTTGTGAGGGATGTCAGGGGTAAGGTCCCACTTGTGCGGAATATGAGAGATTCTAATATTTACCATAGATAACCAAAGATCAACGTCGTGTACCTCTTAATCCATGCTAGTGGGACCTCGTCCCAGGCCCGTTTCCCGGCTTGTAAATCTAGAGTTTGTCTTATGAATCAAAAGAAGATAACAACAACAACAACAACAACAACAAACCATGGCTTCGAAGTTCGATCACATACATCAGTACCTACAGCCCATTCGTTGCAGAGGAGGAACTACCCGTAGTCAAGAACCGACTGCAGGTGCAAACATCAGACGGAAACGAGTGACCATTGGTGGGACTGCATTGAATCCAAGAGGATATGGAGTTGGGTTGGGTGGGAAGACCGTTGTTGTCAGTTTCTCACCCAGTAGATTAGATGGTCTGAGAACTTCAAAAAAAAAAAAAAAAAAAAAAAAGGTGGTCTGACCGTCTGAGCACTTTGTCCTGGATGGCATCTTACCGCCAAAGATCTCTTCGACAAAACGGGTGGGGATACGTGGCTTGACAACAAGTACAGCTACATAATATGCAGTCATTTCGAGACTCAGGTGCAATTGCCCCTTCAGAGGGACTTTCCGTTCTGATTTAGCAATTAAGAATATGATAGTGGATAACATCTGCACAATGGTGTGAAAAATTATAATTGAAAAAAAATTGAAAGCTCCAAATACAATGTAGCTGAGGTTTACATATCACAGTGAAACCACATTGCACCAGCATGGGAGTACCGTGCTACAGACCTTCTCCTCTCACTGCTCAGTCTGAGGAGCCTACAGAGTCCCTAACAGAGGAGCTGCAATTAATTGGTTCGTTGATTCATGCGCCATCAACTTCCGACTGGTAACAGCGTACACCTACACGTCACTTCTTCATGCATGCTCTTGGTCGTTGGAACAGGTACCCAATGACTACTGCCCCTCTGGACAGATACCCAACGACTACTGCCCCTCTGGGACGATAAGTCCAGAAGTTACTAGCAGGGGGGGGGTCAGGATAGGGCAGGACCAAAAAAAAAAAAAAAAAAAAAAAAAAAAAAAAAGGGATAGGGCAGGACAGAAGTGAAGGCAATGATTCGCTGGTGGTCTGTAGGTGTAGCGCAGTCTGGTAGCACATCTGTTGGAAGGCTGAAGAGGTCTGTCAGTCACGAACACATGGTAGCTACAGACGGACAGAAAGGGAGTACAAGTTATTGTCTCTCTCTCTGTCTCTCTCTCTGTCTCTCTCTCTCTCTCTCTCTCTCTCTCTCTCTCTCTCTCTCTCTCTCTCTCTCTCTCTCTCTCTCTCTCTGTGTGTGTGTGTGTGTGTGTGTGTNTCTCTCTCTCTCTCTCTCTCTCTCTCTCTCTCTCTCTCTCTCTCTCTCTCTCTCTCTCTCTCTCTGTGTGTGTGTGTGTGTGTGTGTGTGTGATGGCAGAAGGATAATCACGATAGTTGTATCACATGCCATGTTCTCAGTGTGTTCACTGTGATAAGTAAAGCCTCACGCGTTGGGATCAGATTGCTGTTGAGTATCTCATGGTCTTGTTTCTGGATCAAGCTGGTGAGATCCTTGGACATTGGATGACAAAGAAGCTGCCATTTTGATACTCCTTATCAGGTGTGTGTGTAACTCTCTAACAGGATGGATAGGAGTGTGGGTTGCTGCCAACTTGCTGATTAATTTATTAAAAAGTATTTTTAATTTTCGATTTTGTATATTATTCAGATGCCGAACGTGGTTGCCCACAGGTGATGGTCCCCACTAGTAGGCCGGCGCAGCTCTCTCTTGTTTTTTTAAGCAACAAAGCCCCATCTTTTCTGGGGGGCATCAGTCCGGTTGCTCATCACCAGCAAGCCCCACGTACGTGAGATACAACTGAAAAGACAAGAAAGAGTAGATCGAACAAGAGTCAGATACGGCCACCCTTGCAGCTCTAGTAGCTTACTCAAGGGGGGGGGGGTGCTTCGGCCGTCCTCCCCTCAAACCATGACACACATTTACAGGCTGGTTGGCCGGGAAGCTTACTGGCAGCACCCTGACACCCAGCATGCAGATCCTGTGAATGGCGGGGCGCGGAGGACCTCCTGGCAGCCTCACCAGGCCGGCGCAACTCTCAAAAGACAAACAAAACAAAACAAGAAATCATACCATGCCAGTGTCCCGGCACTTGGACCGAAGAGCAAACAGCTGGAGTACCCACAGTGGTTAAGAGCCCATCGTGGGGACCACAGCTGCTTGTGGACAAACTGGTGACATAGGGATCCCATCAACATTCACACCTTGTGCTGCATATGCACCTAGCAGCGAAGTACATAGACCCAGCTGCACCAACAACACTATTACTGCAGTGCGCCATGGTATCACATGCGGTTTCAATGGTAACCGCAGCACCGGCTTTGGATTGATGGCAGCTGCAGAAGCTCAGGTGACTCAGGTCTAAGAGTTAATTTGCTCATCACTGTCACTGCTGCAATGACAGCAGAAGACAGAATCAAACTAGGGCTCCCTCACTGGTGATTTGGGGCAGCCCTGCAATCATAGAGCAATAACGGCTCGAGTCATGAAACTGATCAACGTCAAAGAGATGCAATAGCCACTAGCCACTAGCCACTAGCCAAATAGTCAAATAGCCAAATAGCCAAATAGCCATAACCAATAGGCATCAATAGCCAGCAGGCAATAGCCAGCAGGCAATAGCAGCGGCTGTCTACCATGCTCACACAAAAAGAACGCCGAGTCAGTATAGTTTGTATTTGGGGCAACTTCCAGTCCAGATGCAGTGATAATGACCGGGCACTCCATTCAGGTAAGGACAGCAGGAGGATATGCATCAGAGGCAGTTGTTATGTACCCGATTGAACTTCAATCCACAACGAATTCACACGTTCCCATACACGCATGCAATTGCAGAGTAGACTCGAAGGAGGCACATCCACACAAAACCGGAGAGAAGATATGCACAGCGGAAGCTCAAAATACACAGAGAATTGAAAAACGAATTTCAATTCTGCAATCCCTCGTCCTCCTCCAATCAATCCAGAAGAGTACTTGTTCCAAGAATCACAACTGCGTTTACAACCACCCCGAACAACCAAAAACGAGTGTTCAACGAGCGAAGTATGCAGGACTCTTCTTCTTCCTCCTCGCCACCTCATACCCCTGGCTATGGATGCCATAGCAGCGGTAACCCCACAGCTGTCACAGCATGCCAATCTGAACCAGCAACCCCAATTATAGCAGCGCCGGCTCATCGCCCACACGGAAGTGGAGTGCTGGAAGTCCTGATGAAGAAGGAGACAACCAATCCTGCACTCTCAAAGAAGATGAAGTTCCCCGTGAGGAGGAACAACAGATATGGCTGCCAAGTGGAAAATGGCAGCACTTCAAACCCAACAACACAGTCCTGTGGAAGTTCTCATGCAGAGCTGCAAAAAAGCAGCAGTGCGATCTTCAACTTTGTTTCTCAACCCCAGCTATGGCTGGGCTTGGAGGAAGAAGATGACCTCGCCCTAAATAGAGCAGCAGCGCTGCAGCAACGGACGGGCAGACTTTCCCCAGCAGCACGAAACAAGAAAAGACCCGAACCAAATTTCCTGCCCACTACTTCTACCCTCTGCCTAAACCTAAGGCAACAACCCAAGACTCGTCTGTATCTAGATGGAAACAGGGGGAAGAGGGGACCTACGTGTAGACCTATGACAAGGCCGAATGGCCTAAGGCTACCAAACAGAGACTACTAGTGACAGACTCAGGGATCAAGTCCCATAGGTCGCAGCACTCACAAACAAAACGCACGAGTTACAGGTCATGGGATCAAGTCCCGCAAGGATCAAAACAAGAAAACAAACTACAAAGCCAAACAATTAGCGTACAGTAGTAAACTGTGATTTATTGGACAGTTGTGGCAGCAGAGGTAGAAGCAGCAGCAGCACCTGCACCTGCACCTGCAGACCAACGGCTGTCGCTTTGGGGCAACTTCCAGTCCAGGTGCAGCGATAATGACCAGGCGCTCCATTCGGGTAAGGACAAGAGGAGGAGATGCAGCGGAGGCAGTGGTAGCGCAGCAGAAGTAGAAGCAGCAGCAGCAGGAGCCGTAGCGCTGGTGGTAGACCGTCAACAGCTGTCGCTTAGGGGATCACAGTGACAGTAGACTATCAAAAGCCGGAGCCACCCAAGTGATGAGCATCAAAGAGATCCATTTGACAATCATGGTCAATAGCCAATTTTCAGCAGCCAATTACCAGCAGTGAATACCCAGCAGACAATAGCAGCAGCTGCCTACCGGGTAGGAGCAGTTGCAGCAGCGGCAGCCGTGGCAACATGCAAAGCAGGAGCACCGGTAGGTGGCTGTGGTGGCAGCAGGCAGCAACTTCCAAAATCATCATTGTGAACAGCAGTCAAAGCAGAAGGCAAAAGCAAGACACCATCATCATCATCATCATCATCATCGCTGTTACGCTGCCGTAACGGTTCTTATCGTTGTTGTCATCATCATAATCG